ATCCAACATGCACTAGATGAGCTTTTTGCTATAGCAGAAAATAATGGAGAAGTAACCTGTATATTAATTCTTTTTTACGCTTATGATTTGTATCAAATGCATTTTTTAAACATCAAATAATGTTTTTTTAAATGTCTAATTCAAATTACTGTAATGAATTATACATTTGAGAGCAACAGAGGGGTACTAATTTGTCATTTAATTACAGCACTTCTAAATTTAAAATCATTATGACTTTAATATAATCACTTGACTTTTAAGACAAAGGTACTGCAAAGATTATTGTATCAGTCTATGAGGCTCTTGGAGATTGTATTAATGTGAGTCATACAAGTATCACAGACAGAAAGCAGCAGCACATAGTTCAGTTGAGCAACAATATAAAGCCTTTATACATATAGTTCTCCAAGAATCTCAAACCTTTCTGCTTTTAACCTGGACCTTAAAATCAACAGTCATGGGATACGTCTTTTAAATACAGGCATTTCTTTTTTGTCTCATGAACTGCAATTCAGTTTTGACTGTATTATACATTGTTTAAAAACTGCCATTTCCCTCTGACTGCTTGCACCCATGATCAAAATTGTCAGTATTTTACCCAGTTCATTATATTGTCACTTTTGTATTTTTCCTGTGGTTACATCAGGTTCTTTAGCCATCAAGAATGTTGGTGCCAATACAAAAGCAACCATAGAGGAGACCTGTCACTGTGGAGACCAGTGATGAGTGGCGTTCCTCAGGGGTCAGTACTAAAACCAGCGCTGCTTAAAATCTTTGTTGGCGCTGCCGACAGTGGGATTGAGCACACCCTCAGCAATTTGCTGATGACACCAAGCTGTGTGGTGCGGTCAACCCGCTGGAGGGAAGGGATGCCATCCAGAGGGACCTGACAGGCTTGAGATGTGGGCCTGTGCGAAACTCAGAAGTTCAACAAGGTCAAGTGCAAGGTCCTGCACCTGGACTGGGGCAATCCCAAGCACAAATACAGGCTGGGCAGAGAATGGACTGAGAGCAGGCCCCCCGGAGAAGGACTTGGGGGTGCTGGTTGACGAGAAGCTCAGCATGACCCAGCAACGTGCACTCACAGCCCAGAAGGCCAACCGTACGCTGGGCTCAATCCCCAGCAGCGTGGGTAGCAGGGCGAGGGAGTGGATTCTGCCCCTCTGCCCTGCTCTGGTGAGACACCCTCCTACGCCCCCGTGAGTCCTGCGTCCAGCTCTGGAGCCCTCAGCACAGGACAGACCTGGAGCTGTTGGAGCGGGGCTAGAGGAGGCCACAGCCATGATCCAAGGGCTGCAACACCTCTGTTGTGAGGAAAGGCAGAGAGAGTTGGGGCTCTTCGGCCTGGAGAACACAAGGCTCCAGGGAGACCTTATTGTGGCTTTTCTGCACTGAAAGGGGCTTACAAGAAAGATGGGGACAGGCTTTTCAGCAGAGCCTGCTGCGATAGGACACGGGATAATGGCCCTAAACTAAAAGAGGGTAGATTTAGATTCGGTATGAGAAAGACTTGGCTTCAAGTAATAAGTAACTCACTAAGAACATTTAACTCTCACACTGAAAAACCTATTCTGTTAAAACATCAAAAGAGTTCGTCTTTGTCAAGAGAAATTTCTCCCCTCAAGATACCAGACAAAGCCATTCAGAAAACATTGCAAGTTTGCTTTATCAACTCTGTCTTCACAACGTTTCTTTTTATTTTTTCTTTTCTAAAAAGGGAAGCTCACATTAAACTTTACACAATAGTTGTCCTTTAAGACAATGGTGAAAAATGCCTACTTTATAATGTGTACACACAGCCGGTAAACTGACCCAGAGGTTAGAAAAGGTCAGAGAACTGCATGCAGCACATAGACATTCAGGATGGATAACAAAATGAGATTCTTTCAATTAAATATCACCTAGGAGAGAATACTGCAAAATGAGGATTTGCTCTTTGCTGCCAACTTTTAGCACATGCTAGTCCAACGTTACACTTCTGCCGAGCAGAAGAGAACCATGCTGTCCTACAAATCAGCCAAGGGTGGACCCCTCTTCTTGGACAGAGACCTTTTGATTCAGTGACAACCAACCAGCTCTGTGGAGCCAAGATCAAAGTACCTAGATAGCTTGTGTAAAACACCTTTGGGCAGCATATTTTTACTCTACAGACGAAAATGTCTCAAAGAGGTCAGAAAGTTACACAAATTACCTCACAAAGATACCTTAAGGACAGAGCAGTCTTTAAACGTGGGCAGCTGAGAGGTGCAGGCAAGGCACACCCACTCTTCCAAGCTGAATGGTGTCGTTATTTCAGAATTCTGCATCACTTCGGTACCTTCCAGTCAGAAAAACCCAGAGTCTCTGTTTCAAGCGCAAGCTTAATTAAGCCTTAGAGATGGATTTCCTACCTTACAGGTTATAACCATCTATTCCCAGGGTACGATCGTCCGCCCGAGCCCTCCC